TTATAAGGTACACAAGTACTTGATAAAGATCAAAGGTAAGTGTGACACGTAGCAAAAGTGTGCGGATGATTGGGACACGTTGGTGCCAGGTGGGGCAACACGTGTCACAGTCCCAGCTGAGACGGGATGAGAAGCCTTCGGCAAACTCTATAGCATTATTTTGTTTTATTCATGGTATTATATTTTAGGATGATAAATGGTGAATCAATAGTAAAATTACTTTTATAATGTTGAAAATTTTAATTTTGGCAAAAATTCGTTAAAATAATATCTTGATAATTTTCATGCAAACAAAGTCAAGGACGGATCTTCATGGGCATGGGCTGGGTTGAAATATGTTATTTTTTTTCCTAACAACTATTAGTTTGAAAAAAAAAAATTATTGTATTTCTTTCGTAGGCATGGGCATGGCATTGGCATGGACATGGGCATGATTTTGTCGATTGTGTATGAAGTACGTGTGTGTATGTTTTAATCCTTTAGTGCGCTTGTTGTATATCATAATTGGAAATAATTTATGAAGTGTAGGCATTTCATTTTAGTAATAACTATGAATATGAAAAATCTATTTATTTGTATTGTGTAATTTTTAGGATTTCATATGGAGCACCAACTTTCGGTCAAGAAATAAAAAAAAAAAAAAAACCCATTGATCACTACAAAAAAATGATGAAATTCCAACGGAAATATATTTCAAATAATTATTCCAACGGATATTTCAATACTATTATTTCCGTTGGAATTTTTCAATGGATTCCAACGGAAATTCCAACGAAAATATTCCGTTGGAATGGGTTTTTCATTGGAATTTTCGTTGGATTTTGACGATTCCAACGGTGGATTTTCCAACGGGGGTGGAAAAAAAATTCCAACGGAATTTGCATATTCCAACGGAAATTTCTACGGTAAAAAGCCGTTGGAATTATAGCCGTTGGAATCATCAAATTTCATCTAAAATTCCAATAAAAAACACATTCCAACGGAATATTTCCGTTGGAATTTCTGTTGGAACTATTCCAACGGAAGCTATTCCGTTGGAATATCCGTTGGAATTTCTATTGGAATATATCACCATAGGATTTTCCGTTGGAATATAACATTTATTTTGTAGTGGATGTCATCGTTTTCCAAAAAATGGGGATCGACGTCAAGCTAGTAAAAACACATCAAATACAGTGCAAAATGCGCATAATATATTTTTTTTTTTTTTTTTTNNNNTTTGTTAGAAAATTTATATATGGTGGATCGACTCACTAGCAATTAGGCCGCATGCCATAATTATTGTGTTACCAATTCAGACTTTATAAGTTTTAGCTTTTCTTTTTACATACAAACTAGAATTAGTATATTAACTACAAATACTTAGGCAAAAATCTTATTTTGGTCCTTTTAAGTTGGTCTTTATCAATTTTTGGTACACCAACTTTTCCCTCATAAAAAATATTACGGTATGTTGCAGTTTGTATCACTATTGGGACATTATCTCAAAATGGTTCATTATTTTTTAGGATTAATATCTTAAAAATGATACATATTACAACATAACGTACTGTTTTTTATGAGTAATGTCCCAAAAATGATACAAATTGCAACATAACGTAATATTTTTAATGAGTGGAAAGTTGGTGTACCAAAAATGAACAATGACCAATTTAGAGGACCAAAATTGAATTTTTACCCAAATACTTATATAGGACCACATATGTCACAACTTTAGTTTCCTTATTTGCAACATAAAGTAAAAGAAGGTCCCCATTGAAACATGGGCAAATTAGAACAAGAAGCCACTTTTATTAGAGGATTTATACTAATTCAAAGCTTTTGAAGTGTTGTCCTTTTTTTTTTTTCCTTTGGGCGGCCGAGCAAAGAAAGTGAAAGGTTACAAAAGAGGCAAAAGGACTTTTTGTTTTCAAAAATGTCGGTTTACAACGCTAGCCGTACAATTTATTGTGCCCTCTCAGCTTTTGACACACATTGTCTATATAATTTTAATCACACTACTATTTTGACCTAATTAATTTTTGGTATGATTGAATATAAACTGCACCAAATAAAAAAAAACTAATCAAAACTTAAATAAAGCGATTTTAAACAATTGAATAAGCTCGTTCACGAACAACTTCGTTTAAACAATTGAGCGAGCTCGAGCTAAATTTGAGTTGGGTCGTTTTAATTATTAAATGGACACGAACTCAAACACAAAATACTCAACCCCGGCTCATCTTGAATCACACATCTAATTGGATTACTGATTAGTATTGTAGATATTTTTCAGTTAGGAGAGAAGGATATATAAAGCAAAAAACATATATAATAATGAGATGTATTAATTTTCTCTATATTAATTTCCGTAACTTATTATTTTTCAATCTAATGAATATGAGCCCGTGATCAAATAAAAGCGAAAATTGGGTGCTTCTTTTAATGACGTATTTGTGACGCACACATGACATATGCTCGATGATTTCTAATGGGGCCCAATCATGACTTGTGAGTTGTGAGAGGTTGACCTTTTTTACACTTTATCTTACGACCGTACGATTGTGTTTGCTCCAACGCAGGAGTTGGTGATCATTGATTAAATTCAAGATTAAAATCAGATAAGACTTGGATTTGATTATAATTAAGATATCATTATAGGGTCACAATTTGTTTGTTTTATTTTTATATTGTCAATTACTTCTAAAAAGGTAGTACTTATGGCCTTTGAAGTTTGGAATATTCTTATCTCTAGATGTAAGGTTATATAGTTGTACGATTATACCTGTTAATCAAAATAAGGCATCGTGTATTCTATTCGACTCATTAAAGCTCGAAAATAAAATCATTTATATAGTTTTCTATTGTTTTACTTACTAAGACTCGAGCTCAACTTGTTAATATATATATAAACAAGCTAATCTCGACCTTATTTAACTAACAAGTTGAGCTCGGATCAGTTCAAGCTATCTTGAATTTGGCTCGTTACATCTATATGAGCAATACGCCATCTATTTTCTTCTCTTTATAAAATTGAAAAGTATAACAACCCAAAAATTCATGATTTATCATTCGCTTCTTATTTTTTCATATGTAGTAAAAGACAATATTATTTTAGTTTTTGTCTAGTGCTTTATAATAATCTAGTGCTTGAACGGTTATATATATATATATATATATATATATATATTAAGGCATGAAAAAAAATTAATTGTATTGACTGCTGTCTTTGTTTCTTTGTTGTCGAGCAAATTAATACAACCTTTTGCACGTAATTGGGTAATAATCGCGTCGATATCAAATGGATTAATGAGATAAATGAGTGATCCTACCGACAATGTCACTTACGTCGCTTTTCTCTCTTAGATTTAAAATAATATTAGTAGTATTTCAATGCTTATTTGTATAATACATGTATTTGTTTTTTTTTTCATACGTAAAAATTTAAAACATATATATGTTCATTTTTAACAAAAATTTAAAAATTGTAATTTTATTTTATTTTAATGATTTACTGTAAGGCCATCCATCCTATTTTTATAATAACTTTTTTTTTTTTTTTTTAACTTATAAGATTGATAGATAAATTTGTACTTAACTCTAAAACCAGGGACATGCTATAGTTCTGTAACGGAACTATTTAGTCGGAGTTTGCAACCGTTAGATTATCATCTAACTGATAATTGATTAATGGTTATAAACTCTGACGAAATAATTTCGTAACGGGATCGTAGTATTTCTCCTGAAACCATGTATAAAAGAAAACTCACACTTCCAAAAAAAATCTACGGTAATAGTAGTAATCCCCTCACCATATGTCAAATACATGTGCATTTTATTTACTTATTAATTAATTTATTTAATTTTGTCATTTCATATCCTAAAATTAATCAAAAACCTCCTCAAATATTACTTTGCACTCTCTAAAGATCCGGCCAGCAACCGGTTAACCCGTAACCCGTCACCCGTATTAGTGGGACCCATCCCGCCAAATTATTGGCACCACGTGTCCCGTCCATGACGAAACCGAGAGGTTGACTCACGCTGATCATTAATTGCATGGGGAGGACAAAAAAGATAAGAAATAGCACAAGAGCCACGCCATGCTTTCCAACCAAAGTTAAATCGCGACCCCTCACAAGTGGGGTCCCCAACTTATTATATATTTTTAGTATATTTTATTTTTCCTCCTCCCCTCGTGCCTCGTCAGCGAGACACGTGCCAAGCCTTCAGTCAAAATCGCTACTTAATTAGGACAACCATTCAACAGTTTTGTAATTAACAAGTGATGATTATGTTATTAATTAAGGAAAATGCTACATCTCGTTACAGTACCAATTTCGTGTTTAAATTAATGACTGTACGTATAATTTTGTATAGATACGTTGAGGCTTTGATGTGACTAGCTATGACTGATTCAATGTTCATGCACATGCATGATGCTCATCTTTTATTAATTAACCTTTTTTCCATGGTTTCTGCAAGATTTTGCTGCTAAGTAACGTTGATCTCACTTATATTGAGTGATTCCATGGATTATATATTGAAGATAGTGAGAATGAAACTCAAGCTGAGTACGAAAGGTTTCGGTTAAGCTGCTCTAATAGTTAGAGCAACTATAAAAATTATTCCAATAGGTATTGCTTGGTAATCACGATAAATTAACTTATATTTTATTTGATTAGCTTATAAGTTTTTATTTATATAAATAAATTTGATTTGAAAGAACAAACTTTTCAAAAGAAAGCTCGAACTTATTTAATAAATGTCTTTGGGTAACTTTTCATACAAGTTCGTTGGAATTTATATTTCAGCTGACTTATCAGCTAATTTTACAAAACACCTTTTATCATATCAACTAGTTTTTCGGCATAAAGCATAAGTTATCAGGTATAAGCTCAAAATTCACTTATATGCTATCGGCTAACTTATCAACTAATTTTTTAACCATAAACCAAAAACTAACTGTTATGAGCTTGCTTATCAGCTAGTTTTACTGAACAAACTAAATATACATAGATGTGTATATATGTTCTCTTACGTATACAAATGTTAGGTAAAAGACGAAAAAAACACAAGCTAACTTCAACTAATTATTATTTCAAAAGTAAATTACATGTGTATCTTCAAGTACATGGAGCATAAGAGTTGAAAAAAAAAAAAAGTGCCAATTAAAAGATTAAACCAATCATATAAAATCATTGACATCTAAAATCTCCGGAATCTCAAACTTCAACATGTTACTGCAGTAACTCTCCCTTTCATCTTCCGTCATATTATTACTATTGTTATAATGACCCAAGCTCGACTCGTGTATCGGTGTCGGGCTTGAGGACGGTGTCGACAGGCTCGACAAAACCGATTGAAACCCGAAACTATTGCTGCCGTTTGATTGAAGTGACGGGTCCGGGCCTGCTACGGACCCGTCGGACCGGTAATACCCGCGGTCCGTCCCGCCTTCGGCCCGTTGCCACTCGCTAGCTGGGCCCGTCCCGAACCCATTGAGACTCTGAGAAAACTGTTCGAAATCGTTGTCGAATAATAAGGAATCGCTACTTGCGCTAGGGGGAACGGTCAAGTCTTGAGCTGGGGTCATTTGGAAATTTTGGGGGAAAGCTGGGGGGATATGGGAATTATCGACAATTAGGTGGGGTTGATGGAGATTATTATTGTTATTATTATTATCGGTGTTGAAGAGAAATTCGTGGTGGCGGCGCTGGGAGGATAGGAGTGACGTGGCGAGGCGTAATAGGTCGGGGTTTATGAAGGGCTGTAGCCCTAGCAGCCTGGAGAAGTTTATGTGGGACTGTGAGGTAATTTGGTCCAAAGGTGAGTTTTTGAGGAGCGTGGAGAGGTCCAGGAGATCTAACCGTGGGCTGTGGGTCACTGGATCAATACCCATTCTTAGGAGCTTTTTCCGGATGTGTGTGTTCCAGTAGTTTTTTATCTCGTTGTCGGTTCTGCCGGGAAGCCGGGCAGCTATTGCAGACCACCTATTTTATTTTTTTCAAGAAAATTAAAGTCAAAATTAGAAATTTTTTTGGACCAAAATTGTGAAAAAAAAAATATATCACTAGTTGGATTAAAATTGATATCTTTAGGAAGTTAATGGACTGATATTGTAAATTTCACAAAAAATATAAATAATAATTTAAAACGATAGTAAAATTACTTACTTGTTGCCAAGTACACTGTGGAGGTGAATAATAGTCTCTTCTTCTTCAAATGAAAATTTTCCTCTCTTAATATCAGGCCTCAGATAATTTGTCCACCTCAGCCGGCAACTTTTTCCACACCGTTGCAGCCCTGACAATAATAAAATACATATTAAAATAAATAAATAAATAAATATCAAACTCAAGAAACTAATTAATTGATAAAAAACAAAAAACGAATATAATATATAACTAACCAGCATTTTTGGGAAGGGTCCTCCAATTGCCATAGCCATTTTTCTGTATAAAATCAATGAGCTTTTGATCTTCCTCAGGAGTCCAAGGCCCTTTCTTGAGCCCATTTTTATCACAACATGGAGCTCGGCCCATTTTCTTTTTTCCCTTTTTTTTTTATTTTTAAAGAAAGAAAAAAAAGATGTGATTTTTGTACTTTTTGTTCTTGAGTTTTTAACAGGGCTATGGTTGTATGTGTGTGTATATATATAGGTGGGGATGAGAAGTTAATAAAGTCAACAAAAGATCAAGTCAAAACGATACGGTGCCGTCCTTGTTATAACTCACGTAGCCTACGTGTCCCTAAATCCTTGGAGAAAAATTAATTAGTGTACATTAATCTCGTGTTTTAAAGTGTTTTCCGGCTATACGCGTGTAGGCTCGTTTTCAGTTTATTATTACCCTTTGTACGTAAATTTTTATACGTAGTTAATTAGTCATGAAGGTGTACGGTATATGCCACGTGGAATGGTGTTTTGACTTTGAAGAAATTAAGATTATAAGGGAGAAAAATTAATGAGCTTTGAAGTTTGTGAGCATGCAAAATTTTGAAATTTCTCATTTCGTAGTAGAAATTTTGAAATTAACATGTTAATAATTGGTTCAGAAAATTATGGATTTATACACAACATTACAAATAATAATTATGAGAAATGCTAGGTCTCGTTACGGAATCAATCCGTCGGGGTTTGTAACCGTTAGATCATCATGTAACCGTCAGAGATAGTTGATTTAACGGTTACAAACTCCGATAGAATGGTTCCGTAACGGGACCATGACATCTTCCAAAAATTATAGTATTTGTTTTGTAGCGGAAGGATTTCAATTACGGATTCCATATAAAAAATTATATTTTTATTTAAAAATACTACATACCATCACTTTGCAAAGACCCTCTAGATACATAACAAAATGGATGAATCACAAAAGTCAAAACGATATTTATAATGAACAGGAGGTATTATTATATTATTAGCTGTCTTCTACTTAAAACAGCCACGTGTCCCCAGTCTCCGAGTCAATTTCATCTTGCATGGCCTGGGATTAAAGCCGGCTTCATCGCGCCATGTGGCTGCTCAATTCCAAATGTCAAATGACAATTCAGTACACGTCCGGTTTATGAATTTAAAATTTTTCCTTTCAAAATTTTGTCATACTTAGGGAGATGCCATGACCTCGTTACAGGTTCGCTCCGTCAGAGTTTGTAATCGTTAGATCAACTATCCTCGATGATTACATAATGATCTAACGGTTACAAACCCCAACGGAATGATTCCGTAACGGGACCATAACATTTATCGTCATACTTATTTACCTAATTAATTTCATTTTTGAGAAGGCTTTATTTTATAATCATTGTAACTTCTAAAGTATTATACATGTATACAAGTTTAATTAAATCTCATCTACATAAATAACTTGATATATCATACCTAAACTATATATAAATTCTAGTATAATTTATTTTGCATAGAACATGATCGACTCTTCATATCTGTAAACAAAAATAAATACATATATTTATATTGTTGTTTAAAGTATAATATTTATAATATAAGTATGTATTTTTATTTTTAAATATCATCCTAGTGGTTCGGCCGAACAAATAGAAGATTTACAGTAGAGATTACCGTAAAAAATCATAATAACAATAATACAATATACAAATAAATATCATAATTTTGTGTGTGTGTGTGTATATATATATATATATTTTAAACAGGAAAAATAAAGTGGACCACTCTTTTTTGGTTGGCAAATTTTTTGATATTTTTATGTCCAATAATAAATGGCTAGAGTTATATACAGCATTAATTTCATGGAGTTCAATAATTGAGATTTGGTCTTTGCCGAAATATGGGCCTATTTAATGTGTGTGTATATTAGATGAATATTTCATACGCACATATACTTACACAGCATATATATATATATACAAAAAGAGCAAAAAAGTTTGTATATAGGTCCCTTGAAATAATGTATTTTATATTTTGTCCTTTCATTTTCACAAAAGTCTGAATTCGCCATCTCCCACGACATGTACCCCATGCAGACATAATACACTTGAATTTTATGGTACCAAATATATATATATATATATATATGTGTGTGTGTGTATATATAGTAAATAGAAATTTCAAAGTATAAAATAAAATAAAAATATACTCAAGTTTCTCGTAATTTTAATGCGCGTCAACATTTTTTATTTTTTTATTTTTTTTATGCAATTTCAACCAAACTTGTGCAATCATTAATTTGCTGTCAAGCATATATATGCGTAGTGAATAAAATTCAATTTTATTGACTTCTAAAAATATAACAGATCCGTCCAAATTAAGAAATGGACCTTTAATATATAATTCAAGTCGATTATCAATGATTAACTATCACTATAATGCTATAGCCCGTCTATGGCCCATCTCCTAAAATCCAATTGACCAATTTTTTTTTTAGTTTGAATTAAATTTCCAAATTACAGCTAAAAAAAAAAATCTCCTTTCAAAGGTAAAAAAATGTTTGAAATTGCTCGATAAATCCAACTCATTCGTTTTTTTTATGGATTATAACTTTTATGTTTTTATAGTAAACCTAAACTGTCAAGATGAGATGAGCCGAGTCGATCTTAGGCCGTTATATAGCCAAATCAGTAAATGAGCATGATCTCGACTATTATTAAACCGAGCTCAAATATTAACAAGGCAAACTTTAGCCTTCAGCAATTGAGCTCGATCCGAGCAATAGAAAATTACATAAACTTTTTACTATTGTTTGAGTTTCAACGAACATGACTCTATTCGTTAACTAATCGAATTCGAACTCGACTTGTTTATCAAGCAAATTAAGTAGAACTCGAGCCTTAACGAATTGAGTCAAACTGACAAGCGGCTCGTCTCGTTTAACGGATATACCTATTTGGTTTTGTAGAATTTTCAAAACTAGTTATACAAGATACGGATTCCAACTCAATTATTTCATCAAAATAAATTTAAATTTAGAAACGACCCATGTATGGTTAATCTATCTATATCTATATATATATAAAGAGGGAGTTGATGGAATTTATTGCTAAATATAGATGATATGCAATAACTATAATTGGCAACATTTCTACATTTGGTTGGGTAATTGTAATTATAAGGTTAATTATTTTTGTTAAGAATGCCAAATAATTATGGAAAATACATTAACATAACTAAATTCGTATTCAATTATTATTGGTAAATTTTAGGAATGGAAAATTATAATTATAAGTTAACTTACTCAATTCATTATGATTGGAAATATATTAATATTCTTTTACTATATATTTAAAAATATATAGCATCGACTCAGCCATATTTCAATCACTTGATACCTTAAATATATTTACTATCATGAACACTACATATGTCATTATTATGTTTTTTAAGGCAACATTATTAGTTTATGCTAACATCACCATACGTCTTAGTTTATTCTAACACTAGTACAACACCCGTGTATTACACGGGTGCTTGCTAATTTTTTTCTTAAAATTT